CTTGAAAAATATCATGATTTATATCAAATTATACTGGTTTTAGTTGGGAAATTTGATTTGCATTTTCCACTCATTTCTGGCATTTACAAACTCCAACAAATAAATGCTTCATTTAATACTTTCAGCTTTCACCTTGTTGTATATCCTTCATTATTGTCATTCAATTTACATTAACTACAAAGATCTGTAAAAAAAACTGAATTTATTTTTAAGTAAGATAAAAGATAATAGTTTTACTCATGAAGAGGAAAAGGATTTTACTTTCTAAAATCTTTAGAAAAGCCACTCTGCAAAACTTTGAAAAAATATTGTCTTTGTTTATATATTTTAATTTCTAATTCTAAAATTTTCTTGTAGTCAATGTAATATGTTAAGATCTTAAATAAGTCTAATATGGAAATGATATTATTAAGAAGTAAAATTGTATTTTTCATTGTCCATATCCTTTTTTTCTATTAAAAAAAACATCTAATTGTAATGACCTTGACTATTACTTTAGAATTTAGAATCATTTAGAATATTTTGACTTAAAATCTGAAGTATCTGCACATTTTCGTGCAAATTTAAAAGATATTCAATTTTAAAATCAAGTTTTTAAATTCAAGGGGGGGTATTCACCCCATTCTAGGGGGGGGGGGAAATTACCCCCAGGATTCTAGGGGGGGGATTAATTACTCCCAGGATTCTAGGGGGGTAAATAACCACAATAAACCCCCTTATTTACGCCACTGCTATGTTGCAACTCCATTTCTTCCACTATCTGCAGCAGGACTTCCAATTCTTTGTGTTGAAGTTTTCCATCTTCTCTTCCGGTTTCCTTCTTGTTTGTTCTTGCGATATCTGGTTCTTTATCAAAACTGTCCAGTGTCCACTTACAATCTGTTTTCACTGTCCACAACTTGTTGCTTCATTGTTACTCTTCTAACACAGTTTTCCTCCTATTACTATTTAAAACAGGTAATCGCTTGTATTTTTGTTCCTTGGACTGGAGTCTGTAGCATTTAACTAGGGTTCCTTGATTTTCGCTGCTGCTACCACTTTTGAAGTAAATACCCTACTCTATAACGGTTTCTAGAACCCCTATCTATCCAGGTACAGTACAGTTTCACTTAGCTATCAATGTCTAAACCTGGGCATAATCTTGTAAGCTCTCAATGTCCTCTACCCACAGCTCGTAACTATCAATGCCAACCAATNTGGGTCCAATGTTCACAAAAAAGTCATTAAAACCCTCTGCTATTTCAGCAGATCCCACAAAACTTTTTTCATCATCAGTGAAAATATCAGGAACTGAATGACTTTTTTTCTTAGAAGATATAATAGAGTTCAGTAAAGACCAGGTCTTTTTGATGTCTTTTGAGTATTCTGTAAATTTTGAAGAAAAATAACTAGTCTTGGCCTTTTTTATTGTTGTGCGATAAACAGAATTATATTTTCTAAAAGTTTCTAAATTGTTTGTAGTTGGATTCAGGATTTTTTTCTTAAATAATTTTTCTTTTTGTTTTCTTGACACTAGCAAGGCGGAAGTGAACCAAGGGTTAACAGAATTTTTATTTTTGTTTGGTTTATATTTGATAAATGGAAAGCTTTCTTCATAAATATTATTTAAAGTGTTAGAAAATTCAGAAAAGGCTGTAGAAGGATCTTCATTTATCATAACATGAGTCCAGTCATTGAGTAACAATTTTTCCTTAAACTTGGTTTTATTTTCGATTGAAGTGTTTCTAATTAGAACTGGTTTGCTACCAATATTATCTTCATGTTGTGTACATTTAGACAATGAAAAAACTGGTAAATGGTCAGATAAACTTGAGTAGATGATTCCACATTCTTTTGACTCAGGATCTGAATTACTAAATATGTGATCTAGTAATGTTGCAGATATTTGAGTAATACGTGTAGGGAGTGTAATTAGGGCAAAAAGTGAATGTGCTAACAGGGTGTTTAAAAAGTTAGATGTAGCATTGTGAGAATTGTATTCAAAATGTTCTATTTTTTAACTATTATTCAGGTAGATAAAATAGGAGTGCCTGAATTTCTCCACATTGCTCTATACCAAAAAAAATAAACACCCTGGAGATAAAATTTAACTTCTATGGGACAGAGCATATTCTTGTGAGATCTGACAAGGTGGATTTTAAAAGTCTAGGTCGGACCGTTACAAGAAATCTGGTAAGGTTTAATTGAATCTGGTAAGGTTCGATAGAATCTGATAATGGTTTGATAAAATCTCCAAAAGGTTCGACAGAATCTGATAAAGGTTTAATAGAATCTGGTAAGGTTTAATAGAATCTGTTAAGGTTCGACAGAATTAGATAAAGGTTCATGATATGAATTCCAAAGTGTGTTTACTACAGAAGTATCTGTAATTTTGATGACATTTTCCATAGCGAGAACACATGGAAATTTACTGTATCCTTGTACTCTGCATATCTATATAATAAAACAAGACATTCGTATATATATGCTGCCAGCCAAACAGCTGGACCAATTGGGCCTTAATTTTGTGTGGACACTCATGGGTGGCTTCCTTTTTCGTTTTATTCAGAACTACCAACAAGAACTTGCTGCATTAAATCCAATTTATTTTTAGAAAAGATAATATTTTAAATCAAATTATTAATTTGAGTTACAATTTAGAATGAACATACATCTCTGTATCAATTACAAGGAATTGATACAGAGGCATGGTTAAAATGGTAATATTGCAGAGGTTCCTCCCTCCACAGTTCTCCATCTAGAACCTCCAGACTGTATGAACCTCCACCTCCAGACCCTCCAAAGACTACCAGGCTGTTGTCCAGCACCTCCATTGTTAGGTAGTATCTCCCCTTGGTCAGCCTAGGACCACTCCTCCAGGTGATTGTAAACGAATCGAATACTTCTACACCATCTAGAAATCCACCATTGTATCCTCCAGCTGTCCATATTTCTCCCTTAAACATGCTGCATGCTAGTCCATACCTAAACAAACAAATATTAAACAGAATATTTACAAAATATAATTTTAGAAAGTTTAGTTAAATGTTATGTTATTTTATATATATGTTTTTTTTATAAAAGCAATTTATCACAAAGGAACTGAGTCTTAGCCACAAACCCAGTTTTTGTAATCCCCATTTCTTTGCAACCCGATGGTTTAAACATTTGATTCTCAAAAATGAATAATTTTATCTTACAGAATTCATTATTTTAAGTATTAAAGGTCAATGACATTGGGTTGCAAAGATATATGAATCAATTCCTTTAATAGCAATAAAAAAGTTTTTTATTTAGAAAGCAACAGACAAAGCGTATAAGTATGAAATAAAGATTAATTTATTATTATTATTATTAAGATTATGAATCGTTGATTTGAATATTTAAATTCTTTAAATCCAATTGTATATTATTGTATATTCATTGTAAGTATTTGTGAGAAGTATTTTTAAACTTATTCATCAATTTAATAATGACTCTATTAATATTAGAAAAAAATTTAATGATTAATTTATTACTATTATTTTTAAGATTATAAATCGTTGATAATATTAGATTTGAATACTTAAATTCATTAAATCCATTTGTATAGTATTGTATATTCAATATTCATTGTATGTATTTGTGAGAAGTATTTTTAAACTTATTCATCAATTTAAGAATGACACTATTAATATTAGAAAAAAATCATGAAAAATGTAAAATAGAACATTTCTAAATCTAAATCTTCAGATATGTTTTAGAAAGATTACCTTGCAGTTGGCATTGATGGAAGTTCTGCAATGAATCCCTCGTCAATACTGTAGACTTCTACAACAGATAACACACCTGCAGCCACTCCTCCTATCAGCATGACTTGACTCTCACTAGAATATGAAATGTTAAGAAACATAAAAAGAATTAAAAATTGCTGACAGTTTTATTTTTGATGATGTTATCTATGATTCTGTTCATTTGTGCCAACTTTTGATGTAAGATATCTTTAAATATTTACAGTTTGTTCTTTATAAAAAGGGGAATTTAGCTAAGTTGAACAATGTTTGTAATAAAAATATAAGTAGATACATCTTACTAGATTTATTTTTGAAAACATGGTGGATAATATTTGACAACAGCAAATATTCTGTATAAGAATTCATCTTATTTCATCATTATTGATGAACTATATGTGTGCACTTGTAATGATTAATATGTATTTTTTAAGTTTATACCTGAAAGAAACAGCACAGTGACTTTTTCTTGCAGATGTCAATTTATAGTTTTGAAGCTTCCAGGAGGTTCCATCAAACACCTCCACAGTAGCAGTTATCCTAGTAAACAAATATTTAATTTTAACTGATACAGGTGAAGGGGTTTGACTGAAGTATTCCAGCTTGTGAGAATGTTTATATAATAATTCAATATTTTTGTTTAGAAACATCCATTTTTTTAATAGCAACCGAGGTAACAAGAGTAAGGAATTTCTCCAAGTTCTCCAGTTTTGGTGACTTGCTTTGAGGAATTTCTCAAGGGCAAGTTCTTGTGACAGATTCCTTTGAAGTTCTTGAGAAATTCTCCGGAATTGTTCCCCAATTTAAGAGTTTTTTAAGAACTAGTTTCGGGAAATTCCTGAGATTTTCTCCGAAATTTTTCCCAAGAAATTCCTGAGAAATTTTCTGAAATATTTCTTTGGAAATTCTTGAGAATTTCTCTGGAATTTTTCCTTACCATATTTTTGGAATATTTCTCCGGAAATTCCTGAGAAATTCTCAGGTTTTGGTCACTAATTTTACGGATTTCTTTGGGAAATGAATAAAAGACATAGTCTCGAGAAATTCCTCAAAAAATCTCATGAATTTTTCCTGGAGAAATTCCTGAGAATTTCTATAGAATATTTCTCTAGAAATTACATAGAAATTTTCAGGGGAATGGAATAAAAGACATAGTTTCGAGAAAGTCCTGAGAATTTCTCTGGAATTTTTCTCAAGAAATTCCTAAAACTTTGCACAAATATTTCTCCGAAAATTCCTAAGAAATTCTCAGGACTTCATCACAGAATTTTCAAGTTCCATTTCTCTCTTCTATAATGCACTGCCCTAACTAAATCTTTTTTTCTTTGCATACTTATAGATAAAAAATGATAATTTACTTAAGAACCATCTTTTAAAAAAAATATTTTGAAAAAGTTATAAATTTTTTCATTTTTTCTTGACATTTCAGTTGTCTGAATAAACAAAATATATGACAACTTCAGTAAAATCAAAAACGACTATGCTGTTCTGAAGTTAATTATACTTCTAAAAAGTTAGAGGGGCAATATAGATAGTTGTTAAGTTATTCACTACTCTTAGGTCTAAGTCCTGGTTAGTGAATTTACTCAGGAATATGCTAAGAATATGTCAAGATATTTTTGAGGAACTCTTGAGAAAATCTTGGGAATAGTTCCCAGGAATTGGTTCATAAGAACTTTTCTCTGGAAATTCTCAAAAATTTTCACAAATTTTGTCTACTTTTTTCCAGTTTTTCTGCAGAATTGGTAACAAGAAATTCCCTGGAATTGGCTACAAGAAGTTCCTTTGATAGGGTTGTGGGAAATTCCTCGGAATGGGTTACAAGAAATACCTCGGACCTGGTTATGAGATATTGCTTGGAATGGGTTTCGAGAATTTCCTCGGAATGGGTTACAAGAAATTCCTCGAAATGGGTTACAAGAAATTCCTCGGAATTGCTGTTGAAATTTTCACCAGATTTTCCTGTGAAAGATTCCTGAGAATTTCCGCGGATTTTCCACAAAATTGTTACCTGGGAAAGAAAGCTAGATGATCAATAAAGGACAAAAAGGTTTATAAAACAAATAAGAATAAATACAGAACATACTCCTGTTGAGTGTCTCCTCCTGCAGCAAGTATCTTGTCTCCTAGTGTAGTCAAGGTAAAGTATGATCTTGCCACATTCATACTTTCAAACTCTATCCAATCCAATCCCTCATTCTTGAAACATTCACTAAATAAAAATATTCAATTTAAACTTTTATTTTGTGAATTTTCATCTTTTTTTTAATACATATAATCTATATTCTATATTTTATTATTGTTTGATTTATTAGTTTTTACTAGTTCACTATATTCTACCTGTGGTATCCTATAGGTGTAGGCATGCAACATTTAGGAGTTTAAAACAGTTTATTTACATTTATTCACATTAATCCCCCTCTGAATGAATGTATTTATTCAATTAAAAAAATTAATTGTAATTTGAAATACTGACTGATAGCAAATATAAAAAAAAAGTTTTAATTAGTTTCTTTTTGGGCATTGCTGTAACTCTTAAAAAAAAATACTAAAAAAGTTAAAATGCTTCCAATCTTTAATTGTTTAAGTGTAAAAAACACAAAGAAAGGTTTATTGCATCAAAGAATAATAGTTGCATTTAAAATGAATTGAGTCTTTGCTACAAACTCTGATTTTCCAATCTTTCAAACTATGAATTCTGTTACATCAAATAGTCTAAATTTAAAATATCAAAAGTTTACACCATCATGTGGCAAAGTTATAAGGATTATAAAATTGTGGCAAAGACTCAGTTTCTATGAAAGGTATCAGTAAAATAACTAATTTCTGCACTTATGTCTAGTTATTCTTTATCAAAAGAACTAGATTACCTTGCCACAAACTTAAATTTTCTAATCCCTATATCTTTGAATCTGATGGTGTAAACCATTGATATTTTAAACTTACAACAATTTCATCTAATAGTATTCATAGTAATAAAAATGTCTAAGGTCAACAACATCAGGTTGCAAAGGTATTGGATAAAAGAATTAGAAGGTGTTAAGTTACTTTTTTTACAGTGATTATTTCTAAAATATAAAACCTAAATGTTCAAGAATTTCCAATATAAAATGTCTTAATTATCATACTTAATCATCTGTTTTAATAGGGAAACTTTGAATATGGATTTAGCGCTGATTAAGTAATCATTAAGTAATAGATAGGTTTAAATATTTTAAATTCTTTCCGTATATATAGTAATTAAACTTTATGTATTAACTCCTAAGTTGCATACCACCATCATAACCCCCGCAGTAAACAATCTGTCCATTCAGAACTGCAGCTCCTAGGATATCTATATATAAATTTTGCTTGTCTGTCTGTTTGTTTGTATCCAATAAACGTCAAAACGGTTGAACCGATCATGCCCAAATTTTGTGTGGGACCTCATGAGACCCAGGGAAGGTTTATGAATGATCAGAATTTTAAAAATTTGTGTTTAAAAGTTTTTTAATTTTGTAAAAATTTTGAAAATGCGCAAAAAAATATTATGAAATCCGCAAACTTTTTTTTGTTTTTGTTTTATACTGTTCAAAGAGAAGATGCTCACAGATAAAGCCACAGTTAAAAGTTGAAATAGAAGATGGGCGCGAAACGCCCTAATTAATATAATTAACTAAAAAAAATACATTTTTATTAAAACCAATATATTATACAAAATAGATACATTTTTTTTTTTATGATCTTATAGTTAAAAAATCAATTAAATTTTGTTGTATTAATCATAGGAATTCCATATTGTAAGATAAATTCATCTATAATTCTGTGATAAATTTAAATTGTATATTTAAATTTAATTTTCTCGTTGTAAACTACATTATATTATTTATGCTTCTTTTTAACATTATTTGAATTCTTAGCTCAAGATATATACTTTACAAAAGAGTGTTTACCTAGTCCATATAGTTTACCAATATCTCCTATTGCCACATCACAGGGATATGATTCAGTTTTCCCATCACCTTAAAAATATACTTTTAATATGATTTAATGATTTTTTTTGGCTTATAGCTGAAATATTTAAGTAAATATTTAAAAAGGTTATCCGATAAAATATAAAAACTTACATATTATAATTATATTTTAATATATATTCTAGTTAAATTTAAAATTAAAATTGAAATTAGATTTTTTAATTTAAAAGTTGAAGGTTTCCACTGAAAATAAGTCTATGATGAGTTTCTTTATATTAATCATAATATTTGTTAAACAATTTTGATTCAATCATAATAATCTAATTTATATATTTGAAAAGTAAATAGTGTTAAATGTTAATTTTTAATATAGAATTGAATGAACAGATATCTTGTGTTCTACAGAAAAGAAATATATATTTTTTTGCTTTATTGAATAAGAAAAAAGTAAGAAAAACTTATCACTCCAACCTCCTAGAAGTACAGCAGTTGTTTCTGCAGAAACAGATCCCTACAATAAATACCATTATAAACATAATGAAAATTTAAACCTAGCTTATAATTACAAATATGAAAATAGAAAAAAAGCTGTGAAATTAATTATTAATCATTAAATTAATCATTTAATTAATCATTAAATTAAGCATAATGTTTTTCCTATAATAGGAAATGGTTTAAATTGATATAAAAACTTACCCTGCTACAGGAGGCCAGATATCCAGCAAAAAGAACAGATACAATCGAAAGAATCATACCTGAAAGAAACAAATGGTGTTTAGTAAAATGATTCATAAATGTTTTCTTAATTGAATAAACTGAATTATAATATGCATTGAAAACTATTTAAATTGAATTGATAAATAAGTATTTACCTTGTATTTTTTTCTGAGTTTAGAAGTAAAGTTTTAAACTTTATATAGCACTAATAAATTCATAAACTTATTCATTCTTGTATACTGTTCAAACCTGAGATAATGCTTGTAAGTAAACATGGACTTTAAACTCAGGATTCCAGAAACACACAAACATCATTATTTGAAAAATGTACAAAGTACTATGTACAGAGAACAACAAACAGACGTACAATGTAAAGATTACACAATATAAAAAAGAGAGAAGGCATGGTACATTCTAGTTCATTTCATGTACCGGGCTGAATTTCAACTAGCCTAGGCAAGCAGTACTGTACAAATAAAGACTATATGAGGCAAAACGGGACTGTACACCAAATGAATGATCCCCTTCTCGTAAAATTTATGTGAAGAATGTGAAGGAGATACTCAAATATATGCGACATTACTAGTACGAATGTTTTACCTCGTAGATCCTCTTCTTGCTCTGAATTTACGCAAACTTTGATAGCAAATTTATCAAATTTCATTTTAGAACATTTTTTTTCTCTCAAAAGCTTTCTTCAAGCTTATTTAAAGTATGAGTTATGATTATAAAACATATAAGATTTCATTACTAGGTGCAATTTGCTTTAGCTTGACATGTACAGCACAGAATGTACAGCCTAAAGTAAACAGCGTACAGTGTAAAGCATACAATGTACAGTGTACAGCATACAGTGTACAGTGTACAGCATACAGTGTACAGCATATGGTGTACAGAGTACAGTGTACACCGTACAGTGTACAGAGTACAGTGTACATCGTACAGTGTACATCATACAGTGTACATCATACATTGTACATCGTACATTCAAATATTTGTGCTATATAACCTTTTGGGCCCTGGAACATCATTTTATAGGAAATCTAAAATTAACATTAAAAGAAAACCAAAATATAAAATAGGCTGGTTTCATAATTGACCAATGGTAATTTCACATATACTCTATGCCTTGCAAATAATGTTTTTTATTCACCTAATTCATTTTATAATGTTTATTTAACAGCTTCTGCGTTAGCTTGACGTTTACAGCACAGAATGTACAGCCTAAAATAAACAGCTTACAGTGTAATGCATACAATGTATAGTGTACAGCGTACAGTGTACAGTATACAGCGTACAGTGTATAGTGTACAGTGTACAGCGTACAGTGTACAGTGTACAGCGTACAGTGTACAGTGTACAGCGTACAGTGAACAGCGTACAGTGTACAGTGTACAGCTAACAGTGTACAGTGTACAGCGTACAGTGTACAGTGAACAGCGTACAGTGTCCAGCGTACAGTGTACAGAGTACGCCGTTAAGAGTAAAGCGTACAGAATACAGCGAACAGAGTAAAGCTTACATCTCACACAGCTTACAGCATACAGAGTTCAGAGTACAGTGTACAGTGTACAGAGTATATAGAGTTTACAGAGTAGAGAACACAGTGTACAGTGTACAGCGTACAGTGTGCAGCGTACAGTGTACAGCGTACAGTGTACAGTGTACAGCGTACAGTGTACAGGAGAGAAGGGATAAAGAGAAGCCAAAATACCTGTTATTTCGGATTAAGATGTTCATCTTTTCTATTGAACAAGAAGCCGAGACAAGAAGTAGTGCAAACATGCAGTGTTTACGGTATTTCTCCCTACCTACGGTAACCAGTTTACTAGATATAAGAGGTAAACAAGACGCGACTACGGAAATGAATCAGTATGCAGACCTCGAAGATGCTGATAAGGAAGATTCAGGATTGTAAGCACAGTAAGGAATATAAAGCACAAAATTTCAGTTTGCTTTTAAAAAGTCTCATGAAATTTTGAGACAGGGTCGACTTTGAAGCGTTGTATTGCATTTGCCCTCAATTCTACTGCTCTCACTTGAATATGAGACAGGGTCGACTTTGAAGCGTTGTATTGCATTTGCCCTCAATTCTACTGCTCTCACTTGAATATGATGTTAGCTGCTTTGAAAAATCAGCTATATCAGCGAAGAAGATTCAGCTTCAATCAAATAGGTTGTAAATTTCTTTTTTCATTTCTTAAAAGTTCACAAACCTACAAAACAGTTAAATTAATATAGAATCAATTGAGAGATTTAAAATGACTGCAGACATAATTTCAATTTTAACATTTAACCTTTTTTTTAAACCAAAATTTTTTTAAACCAAAATTCTTAAAAGAGCAGTGGATTTTTTTCACTGATTGTTGTATCTTCTTTCTAGCTGATCATACATCTGTTTTCTGTTCCTCTCTTTCAGATTTACGCATTCTAATTCCTTGTAGACAAGGGAAAAATGCATTTTGACACATATTTCTGATTTTCTTTCTCTCTAATATTACGCATATTACCATTTGTTTTCTAAGCAGATATGTCAAATTTCTCTGACAAGTTATGTTGAGGAATCATGATGCAGCCTTTCCATCCAGCTATTGTTCATATGAATTGTATATATTCTTACAGGTTGGAAAAATAAAAGTCACTGCTAAGCGGGGTTTGAAAATTCTAAGGATCCATTCTCAGAATTCCGCATTAATAATGACAAATAGGATAAGAAAGGGTAGGCAAGGAGTGGAAATTTTTGACAAAAGAAATCTTGATTTTTTTAAGTTCATCTTGGATAGTACTTCAGAATGAGGCCGCATCTACAGAAATCTTTTCCTCGCAGCCAGCAGAGTATAAACCGGTGCTTGGTGCACAACCTATCAAGGTTCTACTTTCTATGTTTCTTTTTTCCTTTTTTTTGGCAAGATGGAGGGGGAAGAGAAGCATAGAAAACCCCTCCTTCTCTGCACTATTATTTTCTTTTTTCCAAGTAGGGTGAACTGCCATGTTTTATTCCACAAAGGGTTCTGTTCAGCTGCAAGAAACTGTAGAGAGTTAAAAAAGAACCTGACTGTTCTGAGCTCCCTTGATGCTTACACATAGAACCAGATTCAATAAAAAGAATTAATGTCTTTCCGACGAGTTTGGATACTTAAGGGGAGTCTTAATGGTGCCGCATTTTCTAAAGATCTCAAGCTTCTAAATGATCCAGGATAATATCTCACTTACACATGTACAACAAAATAATCAAACATTCGATTTTACATACAATTTTAAAGATTCGGTTTATGAAAATTATTGCTAAAAATGTCAGCAGTCATGTAGAATCGGATGTTAGCTGCTTTGAAAAATCAGCTATATCAGCGAAGAAGATTCAGCTTCAATCAAATAGTTTGTAAATTTCTTTTTTCATTTCTTCAAAGTTCACAAACATACAAAGCAGTTTAACTAATGTAGAATCAATGGAGAGATCTAAAGTGACTGGAGACATAATTTTAATTCTAACATTTAACATTTATTTTTAAATTAAAATTTTTTTAAAACCAAAATTCTTAAAAGAGCAGTGGATTTTTTTCTCTGATTTTTATATCTTCTTTTTAGCTGATCATACATCTGTTTTCTGTTCCTCTCTTTCAGATCTACGCATTCTAATTCCTTGTACACAAGGGAAAAATGCATATTGACACATATTTTCTTTCTCTCTAATATTACGCATATTACCATTTGTTTTCTAAGCAGATATGTCAAATTTCTCTGACAAGTTATGTTGAGGAATGATGATGCAGCTTTTTCATCCAGCTATTGTTCATATGAATTGTATATATTCTTACAGGTTGGAAATATAAAAGTCACTGCTAAGCAGGGTTTGAAAATTTTGAGGATCCATTGTCAGAATTCTGCATTAACAATGACAAATGGGATAAGAAAAGTTAGGCAAGGAGTGGAAATTTTCGACAAAAGAAATCTTGATTCTTGTAAGTTCATCTTGGATAGTACTTCAGAATAAGGCATCATCTACAGAAATCCTTTCCTCGCAGCCGGCAGAGTATAAACCGGTATCATAGTGCATGGTGCACAACCTATCAGGATTCTACTTTATATGTTTCTTTTTTCCTTGTTTCTGGCAAGAGGGAGGGGGAATAGAAGCATAGAAAACCCCTCCTTCTCTGCACTATTATTTTCTTTTTTCCAAGTAGGTTGAACTGTCACACTGGGTTTTGTTCAGTCGCAAGAAACTGGAGAGTTGTATAAGAACCTGACTGTTCTGAGCTCCCTTGATGCTTGAACACATAGAACCAGATTAAATCTTAAAGAATTAACGTCTTTCCGACGGGTTTGGATACTTAATAACAGCTAACCAGGCTTGTTATTAAAGAGTACATTTAAAGCTGTCAGTAGCAAAATCTGGATCCAGCTAGGTAAAAAACCCTCCATTCTCCAGGTTAATACAACGTAAATGTTACTTGTAGTTTCTGGTTTTTTCTCTTCCATTTGTGTGCAGGGGTGTATACCCCCCTGGCTAAAGTTTCTCTAGTTTGCCATTTTCTCTCTCTCACCCTGTATCTCTGAATACTTTTAGAAGCGCTTAGTAAGACCTAGTTGTTGCTTCTCTGAAAGCTAGATGCACATGAGGGAGGGGGTGCAGAGGAGCCATGAGCCCCCCAAAATTGACCTTCCAGCCTCCAGATTTGCAGAATGACCTCTAGGCCCTGCGAAACCGTCTCTGTGCCTCTCGCTACAACATTTTGTCTCCAAGCCCTGCATTTTGGTCTCCAATAAAAAATATTTGTCTTTTACATCCTCCAAAAACCTTTTTTTTGAAAAATCTCAACCTGATAAAATCATTTATAATGATTAAAGGTTTTATTTTTGTTTTTCTAAATTTCACAAATTCCTTAAATTGTGAAGAACTATTGTAGTTTTGTATAAAGATAGAGAAATTTATATTATTTTACAGGGGTTTCATATACGATATCAGCAGCAAATAAAATAACACAGTAGCTTTTGTGAAATCCTTGAATTTGCGCTTTTATTTTATACTTTAGAAAAAACATTGAAGAGCTATTTTTTTATAAGTTAAAAAAAATTTCAAAAAGTCTAAATATCTTTAATCTACATATAACATGCTATACAAACAGGACAAGGCAGCGTCATGAAACGATTTAGCCCGATTAACTAATCAAATAATTGCCTCAAACTCTAACACTTCAGTCAATCCTGACTATACTATCAGCTAAACAGCCAAACTCTAAATACTAGCCATCTACACAGGCTTTAACACGTACGTGCTATACAAAGATTTATATTGAACTAATTTATTGATAACAGGTAAATAGGTTGACCGGTCAGAGTACAAACTAAAATCATAGATAAAATAGATGGAAGAACTATACAACTGATCCTAAATTCGCTACAGTCATATCCTGTACTTAAGTTTTACCTATTATTGAATTGTGCTGAAAAATAGTTGAAATCAGGGGAAATTAGGGCCATGTAAATAATTAGAATTTATACACGGAGCGGAGCTAAAACTCCTTTACAATAGGATGGACCCTCATTAGTTTGCATTTTTATGATTAAATTCAATGCTAAATCATGATGTCTTCAGATATATTAAAGTTGTTTATAAAGGTTGTCTTTTACGCATTCCAGCTTTATGTAAACTTTTCACAAAAAAACAACTTAGAATCAATTAAATGAATTAATATTTCAAATTTTTCGATTAAACGATTCTTTAAACTATTGCAGAGTCTACTATGAAGAGATGTTTTTTGATTTTTGGTTGGTTAAGCTATAAACGGTAAACAAAAATAAAAGCAGCAAGCGGAGATCAAAATACGGGGCGTGGAGACAAAATGGCGTAGGCTCGGAGACGGTTTCGCGGGGCCTGGAGGTCATTTCACAAATAAAGAGGCTTTTAGGTCATTTTTGCGTGGCTCATGGCGCCTCTGCACCCCCTCCCTCTGTACACTTTTACAATTGATTTGTCACCATATTCACAATTTTTCTTAATATATGTTTTATATTTAAAGGTAAAAATATAGATTTTTTATTACTGTGCATTGTGTAGGTGTATAATTGTTCGGTCTGTTGAGTACGGTCTGTTGGACTGGCTGTCGCCTTTTCATAAATAGTTTTTACTAATACATAATAAGTAAACAAATAAAAAAGTATTCTTCATAAAATGTTAATTCTAAAAAACATTAGCATTTGTAAATTTCTTTCTAGTTATTGAGATATTTAAAGAAAACAAAACTCTGTTATAACCATAGATATCAAGGGTTTTAACCTAATGCTTTTAAGACTATTACCGCCTTTTTTTTTACAACCGCTACAGATTTTTAATGCATAGATCGAAAGATTATCACATTTCTTTAAACAAGAGCGTTGCCCCAAATTGGCTTTTATTGTTATTAAATTCATTTTTTCAAGAAATCCCTCCATGCAAAGATAAAAAATGCCCGATTTACAACGGTACCCTTTAAAGCTTTGTCTGATCAAGGGTGTAATGCTAGGAAAGTTATTTGCTGTCGCGTATACTCTGCGTACATATTGAAACCAGTTCTCTCTGGGCGGAATTTGTAAACAAGAATAGATGCATCAGTGTTCGTTTAGTATCCGAGGAGGTTAAAAGCATTAAATTTTGATAATTTTTAATAATTCACATAATAGTTTCCTATGAACAGAATATTTCATTGCTTTTTTATGAGAAAGATGGATCCCATGTCAGGCTTCGACATCCGTCTTGTGTTTACATCACCGCCCAGAGACAGTACACTACAGTACAAAAGATGTGTACACCTCTAAAATAATTTTCCTTGCATTACAACCTTGTGTCTGAACAGGTGAGAATTATATTTTGAAGACTGATTAATTTCCATTTTCTACAGAAGTGACTTTTTATCTTCTGCTGGATAAGATCCAGGCATTAATTGCACTTTTAAACCTAGAAAATCGACAATATCTTCCAATAACAGCTAAAAGTTTCAAGGGTACCGTTGTTAATCAGACACTGGCATCTCCGCGGGGGGAGTAACTTTAAAATACACTTACAGTCCCTTAACTCAAGTAATTAGCAGTGTTAAAGTGCTGTGCCTAGCAACTCTGGGAGGCTCGTGTCTGCATAGCGGAGGCTCATGGCGTCCGGGGGTTCTCTCCCTTGCTGTGCATACAAATTTTGCCAGTGTTCCCTCACTTTCAAACCAGGCAAAAGTAGTTCATTTCCCCGATTTCTTTTATCTGTTTCTGTTTCTGTACAATTCTATATTTTTCTAACAGTGTTCAAGGATTTACAGTGAACTTATGATTTTAATTTTGATTCAAGATAAACCCGGGCAGACGCCCAAAGAAGTTGCGTGCGCATGCCGCAGTAAATTATAAGACTGAGTGTCTGTTCTAGCCCCGGCGCTCTGTCAAGAAATGTTTCTTAACCTAACCTAACCACGCGGCAAGTGCATGAAACTTCCTGGGGCAGCTACTACTCATTCTTTTACCATAAAAATAAAATGAATTTTAATTTTGCCAAGTCATCAGTTTTCACCTCTTGCGTTGAATACTCATAATCCCGATTGCTTGATCTTAATATCTCCTGTGGGCACTTATAAATTAAGGATCAGTGCTTAATCTCTTCATGTCAGTTATCCCTTCAGGGTACAATTACCAGACGGGATATCAAGCAAAATTTTAATTATTCTGCAGATTAACTTGAGATTGAGATCAAGCATTGATCCACAATACAAGAGTTCCCAGATCAGGATAAGGAAGAATAAACATAAATAAAATTAATTGTTTCAAAAATAAATTTTATTCGGAAAATTTTCATGTTAATGCTTTCACGTCTATTTTTTATTATTCCAGGTCATTTCTTTTTCTTTCTTCAGTCTTTTTGCCTCCTTAGCCTAAAACAAAAATATCATAAAATGTTTCCTTAGTAATAAAAAAAATATTAGTTCTAAATTAAATGTTTTATTAAATAACTTTACAAAGGAAAATTCAACATTCTAAATAACATTTCAAATAACACAACATCTAAAAACAACAATTCAAATAACACAACATCTAAAAACAACAATTCAAATAACACAACATCAAAACAAAAATTCAAATAACACAACATCTTAAACCAACATTTCAAATAACACAACATCTTAAACCAACATTTCAAATAACTCAACATCTAAAAACAAAAATTCAAATAACTCAACATTTAAATAACACCTAAAACACATAATTCATACAACAACAAATTCACAACAACAACCTATTTAACGTTAAAACAGCAGCATGAGTTAAACCAAATTTATCATAAATTGTAAAACTTAAAAATAATGGTTTGGCACAATTCATTTGAAGAAGGTTTTTGCTTTTTAATTCTTAATTGAGTATAATTTTACATTACTGCAAAATTTTTTAATTTAAATTTAATCCTTTCTAAGAAAAACATGAACCAGCAATCGTTAAAATCGCACCATAAATATTTTATAAAAACCTACCAACGATCATAACATCGTATAAACCAATAATAATAACAATGATAATAATAAAAATAACAATGATAATAATGAGAACAATGATAATAATAATAACAATGATAATAATAAAAATAACAATGATAATAATGAGAACAATGATAATAATAATAACAATGATAATAATGATAACCTGAGACTGAATTCCGTCTAATCCTGACGAGAACTCGGATACAATCAATCCTGAAATAGATTGGTTAAGATAACTTTTTTTTAAAAAACTGGAGATTAAAACTTATGAAATGTTAATCCTAAAAAAAGGCACTGTTTCTTCCGTCGGAAAATTCTACAGTGGTATCTAAAGGTCCGGAAAAAATCTGCTCTTCGCCAATTATAAATTCCGAAAATACGTGCAAGCTTTTTTCGCGGCATAAACAATTAATCGTTTCCGAATATATCTAAAACTTTGAGGATATCTAGTCTAGGCATTATATTTTAGAAACAGTATTTAGAACTACTGAACAGTTCTATTGATTTCTTACCTTTTTCGTTGATTCTTCGTTTCTGAGCCTTGATTATCTTTCCTTCTTTCTTAAGATCAGAATCTTTCCTCTCCTGCTTTCTGGTCCACTGTCCTTTACCAATACCTAGAGATAGATAGATTAAGATATTGATGAATAAATAGATAATAGTAAGATAGATACATAGATGGATAAATAGATCTAACAGAATCTTTCCTCTCCTGCTTTCTGGTCCACTGTCCTTTACCAATACCTAGAGATAGATAGATTAAGATATTGATGAATAAATCGATATATAGAAAGATAGATAGATGGATAGATAAATAGATAGATAAATAGATAGATAAATAGATCTATCAGAATCTTTCCTCTCCTGCTTTCTGGTCCAGTGTTTTTTTTACTAATATCTAGAGATAGATAGATTAAGATAAATAGATATGTAAAAAGATAGATAGAAGATAGATAGATAAATAGATGGTTAAATAGATCTATCAGAATCTTTCCTCTCCTGTTTTCTAGTCCACTGACTTTTGCCAAACCCAGAGATAGATATAGATAAATAAATAGATAGAAAGATTGATAGATAGATTTCTCATAATAATTCTGAGCCCTGGATTGGTGAATTGGTTGATTACCTAATCTAATGATCGATTTATTGATTTAAAATTGATTTATTTATTATTTGATTTAAAATTGAACGATTGATCATTTGATTTAAATTTGAACGATAGATCATTAGATTCAAAATTGATCAATTGATCATTTGATTTAAATTTGAAAGATAGATCATTAGATTCAAAATTGATCAATTGATCATTTGACTTAAAATTGAACGATTGATCATTTAATTTAAAATTGAACGATTGATCATTTGATTTAAAATTGATCAATTGATCATTTAATTTAAAATTGTTCGATTGATCATTTGATTTAAAATTGATCGACTGATCATTGGATTTAAAATTGATCGATTGATCGTTTGATTCAAAATTGATCCAACTGATCATTTGATTTAAAATTGATCAATTGATCATTTAATTTAAAATTGATCGATTGATCATTTAATTTAAAATCGACCAATTGATCATTTGATTTAAATTTGAACGATAGATCATTAGATTCAAAATTGATCAATTGATCATTTAATTTAAAATTGATCGATTGACTATATAATTTAAACTTAGTCAATTGAAAAAATGATCATTTGATTCAAATTGATCGATTGATCATTTGATTTAAAATTGATCGGATGATCTAACCTGTAATTCTTGAAGGTGGATCTCTCAAAGCAAAACTCTTGGCACAATGACCTAAAAAAAACGTTGTTTTGGTTTAACATAAATGTTAAATAAATAAAAGTTAACGAAATAAGCTTATACAAGGGCAACCCAAGAAGAACCTCAATATTTCATAAGAACTAGGCATGCGAGGATTAAATACCAGGGGGCGGAAACGTCATGTATGTATGCTTTCGTACTGCATAAACCTACAGTACACACCTTTGGTTCTGTAAACCTTACACACACACTCTTTTGAAACAGACACACAAACATGACCTGGAAGTAAATAGCAGGTTTTGGATGGGATTTTGCTCCTTGGATCCGCATATTTTTGCGGATCCAACGGATCCTAGGCAGTGTAGGGGCCTGAAGCGCCCTAAAAGCCTATTTTTTTATAATTGTCTTACCTAAGTGAAGAGCTTTAAAGCAGAAAACATCTCTAGCCTCCTAAACTCAATATTCCAGTTTAAGCAGAGTTTAAGCAGAGTTTAAGCAGAGATTAAGCAGAGATTAAGTAGAGTTTAAGCAGAGTTTAAGTAGAGGTTGAGTAGAGTTTAAGCCAGTGTTTCGGATCCGTATCATTTTGATGCGAATCCGGATCCGCGGATCCGCATCCGTGATGATGGATNGTAGAGTTTAAGCAGAGTTTAAGCAGAGTTTAAGCAGTTTAAGCAGAGCTTAAGTAGAGTTTGAGTAGAGTTTAAGCAGAGTTTAAGCGGAGTTTAAAAAGAGTTAAATTGGAGTTTAATCAGGATCAACTTTAAACTGGGCTGAAACTAATGAATAGTTAAAGCAGAGTATTGGTTTTAAATATGTTAAACTTTGGGGGTCTTAAAAGAAATCTTTTGAATAGTTTGAAATATTTTCCTTTGGATATGATGCGTAGGATCTGACAAAGGAAACATAGGCCTGACATGCCTCCTCATATAACTTTTTATCCCTAGAATCAATCAATCAATCAAAACTCTGAATAGGTGTAAATACCTAAATGATTTGATCAATGTGTCTCTATTTATGATGTTGGAAGAAAGATGAATATTTAAATTTAAAAAATTTAAAAAAAATGAATAAAAGGATGAACAGATGAATGAATGAATGAATGAATAAATAAACAACTAAACGATTAAACGACTAAATAACTAAACGACTAAATGACTGAAAGACTAAACGAATAAACGACTAAACGACTAAACGACTAAATGAATAAACGAATAAACGAATAAACGAATAAACGAACAAATAAACAAATGAACAAATGAAAGGATGAATGAAAGACTGAAAGGATGAATGAAAGACTGAAAGAATGAAAGGATGAATAAATGAATGAATGACCTTGTAACAGCATTCTCTATCCTAATCTGAAGATTAGTAGCTGCCTCCTCCATAGTTCTAGCTTTCTCACCAGTCTTAGTAGAACTTATTCCAGATCTAGGTATCATTATTATTAATGTTATCATTAGTATCGATTATTATTATTATCATTGTTATCATAGTTGTTATTATTCTTTTTCAATTTTTCTCCCTCTCTCATTAGTCTTAGTTGAACCTATACCAGATCTAGGTATCATTATTATTATTGTTATCATTAGTATAAATAGTTATTATTATCATCGTTATCGTTGTGGTTAGTATTCTTTTTCATTTGTTCTCCCTCTCTCATTAGTCTTAGTTAAACCTATACCAGATCTAGGTATCATTATTATTATTGTTATCATTAGTATAAATAGTTATTATTATCATCGTTATCGTTGTGGTTAGTATCTTTTTCATTTGTTCTCCCTCTCTCATTAGTCTTAGTTGAACCTATACCAGATCTAGGTATCATTATTATTATTGTTATCATTAGTATAAATAGTTATTATAATCATTGTTATCGTAGTGGTTAGTATTCTTTCCAATTGTTCTCACTCTCTCACCAGTCTTAGTAGAACTTATTCCAGATCTAAATTCTAGGTATCATCATTATTTATGTTATCATTTTTATTTCTGTTTTAGTTATTTTTATTTCTATCATTATTAAATTGTTGTTTTTATTTCATTATTGGCAGTATTATTATGATAATCATAATTGTAATGATTGTTTATTTTAATTCAAAGTTTTAATTAATTTTATTTCATATCATTTTTATTAACAATGGTGGTATTTTTTTTTTGGTTACTGTTACTAATATGATTAAATATGTTGTTTTTATCATTATTGTTTTTATTGATATAGCTATTTTTAATACAGTTGTTTCTTTTTTTTAAACATTATCATATTGATTGTTAGTATTTAATTAATACTATTATTATTGTTATTTTTAATATCATAAATTATTGTTAATATTATCATGATCATCTGAATGTTATGTTTGTTTTAATTATTATTTTGATATTTTATTTTCACAGTAGTGGGAACTCTTGAACTCTGGATATCAAGATCAACGCTTGATCTCGATTATTTGGATATATTATTCTAAGAGTAGTGATAACTCTTGAACTCTGGATCAAGATCAACACTTGATCTCGATTATTTGTTAATCTCCTGATTAATTTAATCATTATCCGCATTCCGCAGTGTAATTGTATCCTGAAGGGAGAAAAGACATGAAGAGATTAAGCATTGATCCTCAAAATATAAGTGCACGCAGTGGATATCGATATCAAGCTATCAGGATTATGAGTAATTAACACAAAAGTTCCCAGCATAGATATTCCAACAATTCGAGGAACAACTTACTTTTGTAGTTTCTCTAATACCATTTCCAGGGTCATCTCCATCAATGGAATCTGAATTTATTTAAATATTAAATATATCTTCAAAGAATATAATTTAATTGGCATGTCAGATAAAAAATAGTAAAGCTTTGTCTGATTAAAGATAAATCAGATATTTTAACTCTGACAATTGAAAATTTTAACATTTCAATTGTAGTTTTTTCTCTGCCTAATTTAGTAATTTATCTGATCCTATTTTAATTGGTTTATCTAATCCTATTCTAACTGGTTTACCTGATCCTGTTCAAACTGGTTTAACTGATCCTGTTCTAACTGGTTTACCTGATCCTATTCTAACTGGTTTACCTAATCCTGTTCTAACTGGTTTATACCTAATTCTCTAATCCTCTTCTAACTTGATTATCTAATCCTCTTCTAACTTGATTATCTAATCCTATTCTATCTTGATTACCTGATCCTCTTCTATCTTGATTATCTAATCCTCTTCTATCTTGATTATCTAATCCTCTTCTAACTGGTTTATCTAATCCTGTTCTAAGTGGTTTACCTGATCCTGTTGTAACTGGTTTACCTGATCCTGTTCTAACTGGTTTACCTAATCCTGTTCTAACTGGTTTACCTAATCCTGTTCTAACTGGTTTACCTAATCCTGCTCTAACTGGTTTACCTGATCCTGTTCTAACTGTCTGATGAATCCAGCTTCACTGGGTAACAGAAATATAACAGAACTTCCCTTGGCACCTGGAATTCATTAATACAGAGCTGACAACTTCAGAATTGTGGATATAAAAATCAATGCTCGATCTTCCCTTATTGTGAATTTCAAGATTAATTTAATCTTGAGTTTGTATCAAAAAAAGTGTATATATCTCAACCAATCTAGTGGGGTTTGGAGAAACCAGATGGCCAATCGGAGAAGCCAGGAAATAAATAATTTTGCGCGCCATTTAATGAGAGAACTCTCATTGATCGGACCTGGCAGGGAGAGAAAAAGAAGAAAAAGAGCGGATTAAGAAGGAAATTAATAGTGTCCACATTGGATATTCCGATTAAGCGATCAGGATTAAAAGTTTCTAATTAATTTAAATCTTTATTTGATATACCGAATGGTAATCGTAACCTTAAAGAATCACTTAAATGAAGAGATTAAGCAATAATCCTCAAATTAAAAGTGTCCACAGGGGATATCGAGATCAAAGGTGTATTTATTTAATTGAGATCTAATAAATTTCTCACTACAGTGCATAAGAGATAAATCCCAAAAATACAAATCAGTTCTTATAAAGACGTTTCCATTGAGTATATTGAGGCCAGAAATGAAAGATTTGCACAAATCACATTCAAAAGTTTCGACCACTCTGGATTAAATAATTGTTACCTATTCTCGCAGTACGACCAACTCTGTGTACATAATCTGCTGTTGATATCGGAGCTGTAAATTGTACAATCCAGTCAACCTGTACATATTGTACATTTAAAGGAATTGTTCAGAAATCCATTTAATTTGGCTGTTGACAATTTATAATTCTTGTAACTCACATGAAAAATATTTCAAAGTGTTGTTTATAATAAGTTTAATACGATTTTAAGACAAAATTCAGTATTCAAAGGAAGACGACAAAAAACTAAAATCCTCGAGTTTTTTTTTAGAAAAAAATCAAATCACGAATAAGTCCCTGAAGTTACTCACCATAGGAAGATCTAAACCTCGAGCAGCGACGTCCGTACACAGCAGCACACCTGGCAATCAATAAATCAGTCAATCAATCAATCAATCAATCAATTTATTTTGATTAATCTTGCATTATGATTTTTAAAGCAGTGTGAGTCAAATTCTGATTATCATAATCCTTGTCCTCCTTGTCATCATTATCATTCTTGTCATCTTTATCATCATTAACACCATTATCATCATTATCATTAACACATTATCCCATCATTACCTTGTCCATCTTGAACTTCCCCTGCATCAAGGACTTGGTCTCTCCGTCCATCTCATCCTCCTCAGATTCTATGAATAAAAAGCATTTACTTATTTCTCTTTTGACAAAAGAATGTTGATATTTTTTTTGTTCAAGACCTAGAGTGGCGTAAAAAGTTTTGAAAGGTCAAAATTCAAAATTTCCCAAAACAATAAAGTAATTTTTTTCAGTTTCTTAGTAGCTGAAGTAGTTCAAAGGGTGATTTTTGGCCATTAATGTTTCAAAATAGATAAAGAGGATACAAAGCACTCCTCGTTACGTCTAAATTTCTCTTTTAACTTAAAGTTGTTAGTTTTCTTTTAAGCGAGACCTAAAATTGCAATAGGTGTGATTTTGGCCAGAATAGGAAGAAATAAAAGATGAGAGGAGATGAGTATCTTGGATGTCAGTTTCACAAAAACCTTAAAAGATATCAAAGGTATATCCATTTGTGAAGTTAAAAGAAATATTGATTATCGTGGAAGGAGGAGGGGGGAAGCGGTTGTTGAGGGGAAGGTGATGGTTGGGAGAAGGGGAAGATGAATGTCGAGAACATGTGTTTGAAGGGGGACCAGGGGGGGTTTTTGGGGGAGGGCAGGTGAGACCTTTTGAAGGGGCAGGACAAGCTATAAAGTTAGGGTGGTTGTCTTCAGGGGGGGGGGTGTCTAGTACCTTGTTCCTCCTCGTCCTCCTCCTCCCCCCAGAGTACAACCTGGAGGAACCTGGTGTAGAAGTCCACCATGTCCTGGGTTGCAAGGAAGATCAACATCTTCTTGTTCTTCTACAAAGTAGAAAAAAAATGAAGAAAAAACATAAAATATCAAAGTTTTTCAATCTAACTCATGCTGTCGATAAGTCTTTAAAATACGAAAAAATGGGAAAATAATCTTTGCTTTGCTTATCAGAAAAAAAAACAATTAAAGAGGCTTCCCCTGGAACTTTTTGAAAAGTAAAGTTTTTTTCATGCAAAATTTTAAATAAATTTGAGAAAAACTTTTTTACGGAAAAGGGTATCATATTTTCATTTTATATTAATGCTTCGAAAACAAAATTAAATTAAATTATTTATCAAAGTGGGAAAGGGTAAATATTAAACCCTCAAATAATATTTAAAAGTTTAACCAAACATTACCTGTGAACATTTCCAGATAGTTTGAACTAACCTAGAGTACCTAGCCTGAGTTTAAACCTACCTAGAGTAATTCGCCTGAGTATGAACATACCTTTAGCATTTAGCCTGAGTTTGAACCTACCTAAAGCAATAATCCTGAGTTTGAACCTACCTAGAGCAAATATCCTGAGTTTGAACCTACCTAAAGCAAATATCCTGAGTTTGAAACTACCTAAAGCAAATATCCTGAGTTTGAACCTACCTAAAGCAAATATCCTGGCATTGAACCTACCTAAAGCAATTAGCCTGAGTTTGAACCTACCTAAAGCAATTAGCCTGAGTTAGAACCTACCTAAAACAATTAGCCTGAGTTTGAACCTACCTAAAGCAATTATCCTGAGTTTAAACCTATCTAAAGCAATTAGCCTGAGTTTGAACTAACCTAGAGTACCTAGCTTGAGTTTAAACCTACCTAGAGCAATTATCCTGAGTTTGAACCTACCTAAAGCAATTAGCCTGAGTCTGAACTAACCTAGAGTACCTAGCCTGAGTTTAAACCTACCTGGAGCAATTATCCCGAGTTTGAACATACCTAAAGCAAATATCCTGAGTTTGAACCTACCTAAAGCAATTAGCCTGAGTTTGAACCCACCTAAAGCAATTGGCCTGAGTTTTAACCTACCTAAAGCAATTAGCCTGAGTTTGAACTAACCTAGAGTACCTAGCCTGAGTTTAAACCTACCTAGAACAATTATCCTGAGTTTGAACCTACCTAAACAATTAGCCTAAGTTTGAACTAACCTAGAGTACCTAGCCTGAGTTTAAACCTACCTAGCGCAACTAGCCTGAGTTTGAATATACCTAGAACAATAAGCCTGAGTTTGAACTAACCTAGAGTACCTAGCCTGAGTTTAAACCTTCCTAGAGCAATTAACCGGAGTACGAACATACCTAGAGCAACTAGCCTGATTTTGAACTAACCTAGAGTACCTAGCCTGAGTTTAAACCTACCTAGAGCAACTAACCTGAGTTAGAACCTACCCAAAGCAACTAGCCTGAGTTTAAACCTACCTAGAGCAACTAGCCTGAGTTATAACCTACCTAGAGTACCTAGCCTAAGTTTGAAACTACCTAGAGCAACTAGCTTGAGTTTGAACCTACCTAAAGCAACTAGCCGGAGTTTAAACCTACCTAGAGCAACTAGCCTGAGCTTGAGCCTACCTAGAGTACCTAGCTTGAGCTTGAGCCTACCTAGAGCTACTAACCTAAGTTTGAGCCTACCTAAAGCAACTAGCCTGATTTTGAACTTACCTAGAGCAACTAGCCTAAGTTTGAGCCTACCTAGAGGAACTAGCCTAAGTTTAAACCTACCTAGAGCAACTAGTCTGAGTTAGAACCTACCTAGGGCAACTAGCCGGAGTTTAGCAGGTACAAGGAGGAAAGCCTGTTTTAGATTTGCCGGGGTCACCAGGTTCTTCTTGTCATCTAGAAATTTCAAATCAGTTAAGCTGACAAAGTTAGTGTAAAATGATTTGTTGGGAAAAAACTTATCAAAAACGGTAAAAAAATGTTAAAAACATACATATCCTTGACGTGCAATTTAAATTAAGTAAGTCAAAGAATCATTGGACAATTTGCTAAATAATTTTTGGTTTTATACTTATTAAATAAATAGAAAATATTAGCTGAATGAGTTAAATAATTACGACCGAACAACTGAAGAAAAATGAGAAAAATACCTTCACCACCGTCTCCTGCAGCATCAATAAATACAGGGTGTCGTAGACTCACTTCAGATAGTTGTTCTATTCCCTAGATTTATAGATATAAAAATATGCAGATAGATAGATAGAAAGATAGATGGATAGATAAATAGATAGTTAACCTTTGATCGAGATAAAGCAAGAATATGCCCTGAAAATTTGGCAAAAAGAGTTTTTGTTTCACGGATCTAAAAGTTTTAGATTTAGAAGAATTGTAAATAGATAGATAGATAGATAAAGATAAATAGATAGAAAAGATAGACGAATAGATAAATAGTTACACAGAAATATAGATTTTCTCTACATATAAAGTAATAATCTCTGTTTGTCTGTTCAATCATATCTTTTGACCCCTTGACCGATTTCCATCAAATTTTGATTCTGGGAAATCACGGAAAATGTTCTTTGCTTGGTTTTTAAGTCATAGGAAACTATTATGTGAATTAACAAAATTAATAAAATTTAATGCTTTTAACCTCGGATACTATACTAACACTGAAGTATCTATTCTTGTTTACAAATTCCGCCCAGAGATTTCAATGTGTGCGCAGAGTATACGCATCTACAATTAAATTTCCTTGCATTATAACCTTGTGTTGAACGAAAGATGACTAGTTTCAAGTAGGCAAAAGTTCAATCCAGTGCTATGGATCCAGATCCGTTAAATCAGAAAAAGTTTGACTTCCTGGATCCGGATCCAATTCCAGGTTGCAAAATACCAAACCAAAACCAAAATCTAAACTGTTGAGAAAAACTGAGATTATTAAAAATTTCCATCAATTTCATAAAATTTTAACAAAAAAGTAGAACACTTATGGGAAAATTTGTTTTAAAAAATCAGTGAATCTTAAAGTAATGTTCATGAGCCGGATCCGGATACATTTTTTCAGGATAGATCGCATCAAAATCAAATGGATCCTAAGCTGCACTGGTTCAATCAACCAATAACTAATAAAATATTAACGTAATCTTATATTAGTTTATGCTCAAGGTTATTTCCTCAACAATTAATTATTGTTACGAAGCAAAGTGCCATTAAACTCTTAATCGGATAAAGCTTGTGTAAAATAAAAGTATCAGGGTTAAAAGTATATGTTTTACGATTTATTTGACACTTTTTACCCAAAAATTATTTGATTTTTAAGTCGGCCAGCGCTTAGGATCGATTTAATTTTGATGTATTAAATAAATAGAAAATATTAGCTGAATGAGTTAAATAATTACGAACGAACAACTGAAGTAAAAGATTACTTTAAGCCTGAGGTGTTGACTGTTGGTGTGCGAATTAAATTATGATAATTTAAGAAGAAGTTAAACGCATATCTTTGGAAAATCAAATTGAGAATAATACCTTCGCCACCGTCTCCTGCAGCATCAATAAATACAGGGTGTCGTAGACTCACTTCAGATAGTTGCTCTATTCCCTAGATATAAAGATATAAAAATATGTAGATAGATAGATAGATAGATAGATAGCTAGATAGCTAGATAGATAGATATAAAAATAGAAAGATAGATAGATAGATAGATAGATAGCTAGATAGCTAGATAGATAGATATAAAAATAGAAAGAAAGATAGATAGAAAGATAGATAGATAGATAGATAGATAGATAGGTAGATAGGTAGATAGATATATATATATATAAAATTAGAAAGATAGATAGATAGATAGGTAGATAGATAGATGGATATATAGATAGATAGAAATATATCAAAATAGATAGATAGATAGTTGTTCTATTCCCTATATATATGGATATAAAAATAGAAAGATAGATAGATAGATAGATTTAAAATATGTAGATAGATAGATAGATAGATATAAAAATATGCAGATATAAAAATAGAAAGATGGATAGATAGATAGATAGGTAGATAGATATAAAAATATGTAGATAGATAAATAGATAGTTAATCTTTGGTCGAGATAAAGCAAGAATATGCCCTGAAGATGGTAAAATAAACCGAAAATTTGGCAAAAAGAGTTTTTGTTACACGGTTGGATGATGGATGGATAGAAAAAAGCTGGGTTGAAGCAAGGTTATAATGCAAGGAAAGTTATTTCAGAGGTGTACGCATCTTTTGTACTGCAGTGTACTGTCTCTTGGCGGCAATGTAAACACAAGACAGATGTCACAGCCTGACATGGGATCCATCTTTCACGTAAAAAATGAATGAAATATTCTGGTCATAGAAAACTATTATGCGAATTAACAAAATTATCAAAATTTAATGCTTTTAACCTCCTCGGATACTATACTAACACTGAAGTATCTATTCTTGTTTACAAATTCCGCCCAGAGATTTCAATGTGTGCGCAGAGTATACGCATCTGCAATTAACTTTCCTTGCATTATAACCTTGTGTTGAACGAAAGATGACTAGTTAGATAAATTGATGAATGGATAGATAGCTATTAAATTGATATTGTCTAGAAGACGTTTACCTGTGTCAGTGTAGCGGAAAGAAGAAGGGATTGTCGTCTTTTATGATTAGTTTTCTGTAGGGCATCAAGAACCTAGAAATAGATTTATAGATCTAGATAGATAGATAGATAATAGATGGATGGATGGATGGATAGATATATAGATAGATAGATAGATATAGATAGATAGATATAGATAGATAGATAGACAGATGGATAGATATATAGATAGAAAGATAAGCATATTTAGAAATGGTTTGTTTATAAAAATGTTTGACAAGCAATAAAAAATCGAGGTGAAATTTGCAGTCCAATTGTTAAAAAAAAACAATTTATCTTTGGATGGGGTGAGAAACATTGCAAAATAGAAATAAAAGTCTTATAGGCTTAAAGTAAACATTCTTAAAAAAAAACATCATAAGACTTTATAGGAAATTCATGATTTCTACCTTTGTCACTTCACGTTCGTATCCCAGCTCAAGCATTCTGTCAGCCTCGTCTTAATCAGGAATTTTTTTATTTAAAAATTTTATTTACGAAATGAAAAATGTACTTTAAGTGTTGCACTAAAATAGGTAAAAGTTCAGTCCAATGCTATGGATCCGGATCCGTTGGATCAGAAAAAGTTTGGCTTCCTGGATCCGGATCCGCAAAAATATGCGGATCAACAGATCCGGATCCAATTCCAGGGTATGCAAAATATCAAAACAAAACCAAAATCTGAACTGTTAAGAAAAAGTGAGAGTATTAAAAATAAAAATCTCAATTTTAGCAATAAAGTAGAAAACTTTAAAAAATCAGTGAATCGTAAAGAAATGCTCAGGAGCCGAATCTTGATTGATTTTTTCAGGATGGATCCAGATATACTGAGTTGACACTTATGATGTAAGAATATAGCTGTACTGAGAGTGTACAAATACTACGTTGCCATCTATTGTACTTAACAATCTATTCACACCCTTCCACAGCCTTTCAATCAATCAATATTCCGTCTTTTCAATATTATCTACTAGACGACCAGGTGTAAATACAAGAATATTCACACCCTTCCTTAATCTAATCAACCAATCAATTAATCTTCTGTTTTTTCAATATTATCCACCAGACGAAAAGGTGTAGACAAGAGGATATTTACACCCTTCCTCAATCTAACCAATAAATTAATATATCAATTAATCTTCTGTTTTCTCAATATTATCCACCATACGAACAGGTGTAGAAGGATATTCACACCCTTCCTAAGCCTTTCAATTAATCAATCAATCAATATTCCGTCTTCTCAATATGATCTACTAGACGACCAGGTGTAAATACAAGGATATTCACACCCTTCCTCAGCTTAATCAATCAAATCAATCAAATCAATCAATCAATCAATCAACCAATCAATCAACCAATCAATTAATCAATCAATTAACCATTCAAAATATCAACAATAGACTGAATAATAAACAATCAACCAATAAATAATCACTCTTTCTCACCAATTCTGCAAAGGAGAAAATGACCAAAAACTATTACTAACTTTCTAGTTGACACTTAGACATAAAAAAGTTCATAAAATCGACCACAAATAGTATCTAGATCCATGAAATCTGTAACGAACTGTATCTATTATCTATCATAAAATCTACCACAAAGAGTATGGACACCCATAAAATGTACCACACACAGCATCTAGATCCATAAAAATCTAACACAAACTGTATCTAAATCCATAAAATCTACCACAAATAGTATCAAAACACAAACTGTATCTAAATCCATAAAATCTACCACAAATAGTATCAAAACCCATAAAATCTACCACAAACAGTATCTAGATCCAGAAAATCTGACACAAACTGTATCTACATCCATTAAATCTACCACAAATAGTATCGAAACCCATAAAATCTTCCACAAACAGTATCTAGATCCATGAAATCGAACCCAAACTGTATCAAAATCCATAAAATCTACCACAAATAGTATCAAAACCCATAAAATCTACCACAAACAGTATCTAGATCCAGAAAATCTGACACAAACTGTATCTACATCCATTAAATCTACCACAAAGAGTATAGAAACCCATAAAATCTACCACAAACAGTATCGCAATCCATAAATTCTACCACAAATAGTATAGAAACCCATGAAATTTACCACACACAGTATCTAGATCCATAAAATCTGACACAAACTGTATCTAAATCCATTTAATCTACCACAAAGAGTATCGAAACCCATAAAATCTACCACACACAGTATCTAGATCCATAAAATCGAACCCAAACTGTATCTAAATCCATAAAATCTACCACAAAGAGTATCGAACCCCATAAAATCTACCACAAACAGTATCTAGATCCATAAAATCTGATACAAACTGTATCTAAATCCATAAAATCTACCACAAAGAATATCAAAATCTATAAAATCTACCTCACACAGTATCTAGATCCATAAAATCTGACACAAACTGTATCTAAATCCATAAAATCTACCACAAAGAGTATCGAAACCCATACAATCTTCCACAAACAGTATCTAAATTCATAAAATCTGATACAAACTGTATCTAAATCCATAAAATCTACCACAATGAGTATCGAAACCCATTAAATTTACCACACACAATATAGATCCATAAAATCTGACACAAACTGTATCTACATCCATAAATCTACCACAAAGAATATCAAAATCTATAAAATCAACCACAAACAGTATCTAAATTCATAAAATCTGACACAAACTTTATCTAAATCCATAAAATATACCACAAATAGTATCGAAACCCATACAATTTACCACACACAGCATCTAAATCCATAAAATCTGACGCAAACTGTATCTACATCCATAAAATCTACCTTAAACAGTATTCAAGCCCAAAAAATCTACCACAAATTTTTAAGCTACACATTTTATGGTTTAAATGTCGTCTTCCTATTCCACAGTTTTATTAGTCTCAATGTATAATCATTTAACTTGATACCTAGCTTTCTCTGCTTTCCTTCCTTCTCCTCCCACCAGTAGTCCAGGAACCAACCAGATAAACGCCTATTCAGCATTATCATATTAATCAGGGCTTAGTATCCGGATCCATGCGGATCCACGGGATCCGCATAATTCCAAGGGGAAAAAACCTTATCCTCTCAAATTCCAATACTGAACTGTGTAAATTATTTAAAAATTATTTAAAATTTATTTGTGTTTGAAATACAAATACAATCTCAAAGGATTAAGTTTTTTCACTAAAAATTAGTTGATGGTGCATGGTCCAAATCTCTGTAGAGTAAAAAAAAGTAAATGTTAGTTCCACACTTATTGAAAATATATTTCGGTATGGGTTGACCCTCGTCAGTTCTAACGATAATAACCATCAAAATAGATAAAAAAAGAAGAAAAATAATTTAAAAATTCTTTTTTGTTAAAAAAAAACGAGGCGGGAGGCTAAGAGTCAGGGGAAATAGAAATAGAAGGGGAGGGGAGGAGGAGGGGAGGGGATTGATAAACCTACCCTGCAAAGTTTCTGAAACCATTCATAGCTCTGTAGAGCGAGCTCCCTGGTTGGAACAATTATAATAGCAAAACATCCATCACTACGTTGAACTCGGGGTTCCCGCTCACCCAGCTAAACAAACATTTGTGCATTCATTTAAAGGGACTGTTCGCGTAATTTTAAGTGATCCTCCGTTAAAAAGGAAAAGAAAAAAGGGGCATGCCCGATTCACAACGGTACCTTTGAAACCAGGAATGAAAAAAAAGTTTTTAAAAACAAAAACATGGATATCGAATTTATGCTTGATCAGACAAAGCTTTTAAAGTATCGTTGTTAATCGAACATGTCACTCTGCCGATAGATGGTCATTTATAATTATGTTTACAGTTTAAGACAGGGTTCTTTTTATTTTTATTTCTTCATGTTTTAAGGTTAAAATGTAAGAAAACACTTCGTAGTTTTAAAAAGTTGTTGATTGTTTCAACGAATTAAAACCCCCTTTTCTTAAATCGCTGAATTAGGTTTCAGTTTAAGATTGAAAACAAATGTGTTATCATTAAGAATTTAAAGGCACAGTTTCGAAAGAAATGAAAAATTACCAAAACTTCAATAGATAGATAGATAGATAGATAGATAGATAGATAGATAGATAGATACCTTTTGTAGGATTGGAATAGCATATGTCAGTGTTTTCCCGGAACCTGAATAAAAGTTATTTTTTACATTAATATGAAACTAAAATTTCTTTCAAAATCACACAATGAAAGTGGAGGATATAATAAAACGTCCTAAAAATAAAAACGTCAAATGTACCAACGTACTGAAAATAAAAATGTCCTGAATATAAAAACGTCCTTATTAAAATAAATAGTAATAAAAAGTCATAACATCTTGAAATAAGAAATAATGAATAGATCTTAAAAAGGAACCCAATATGGAACCCCCAGCCGACTCCAGGGCTCAGCGCTTCAACATGCAGCGTACGGTCTCGATCCATCCTGACTAATGCACCATTTTTAACGCCCATGCACTAGTGATATATTCCGGAGGCTGACAGCCAAAATGGCTAGTCCTCCGTCAACAAGACCTACCCTAGATCCTTGAGGTTTTTAACCATGTTCTTATCCAGGTTAAGACCATCAAATGATTTGACGGAGAAAACATCTTCTTTTGTTGGAACTACATCCTATATTCATCCCTGATTCTTATACAATTAAAAAAGCTGTTTTTTTTCAAAGCTACTTACTTTTCCACCCAAAACCTTAATTCATTATTTTCCAAGAAAATGGTTGAAGAAGAAATGTTTTTAAAAAGTTTTGAAAAAGAATCTTAGTTTAAGAACCGGTTTTCCTGAAGTATCATCTGAGGAATCTCTGGGTTATGATTGAAGAGAGAAGAGATAACATTATCCTCCTGGTAGGTATCCTAGAGCACCCTGGAGGATTAGACAACTATGCAACCAAATGTCGTCTTTACACGAACAAAGACAGACATTATAATTACAGGATGTGCTTACCAATAATAAATCCTCAAGTACAGAGTAAATGCTAATTAGAATCGATTTAAAGATGCTACTTAATGACTAAGGGTTGTTCGACATAATCCTACTTGCTTTATGTTTAAAACAGTGCTAAGGATCCATTTAATTTTGATGCGGATCCGGATCCAGGATCCGCACTGGAAAAAAATGGATCCTGATCCAGGTCATTTCTTTAAGATTTACAGAATTTTTTATACAAAAAATAATCAAATTTTTTGTTTTATTTTTTCGCTTATTTTTATCCTAAAACTTGATGAACCATTCAGAAATGAGTAAATTTTATAATCTCTCTTTTTTCAAAAAATCAGATTGGGGTTTTAGGAGTAAAAAAAGTTTTTTTTTGCAGTTTTTAGTTGATATTTTACCCCTTGGATCCGGATCCGTAGATCCGCATATTTTTGCGGATCCGGATCCAGGAAGCCCAAATCTTGCGGATCCTAAGCACTGGTTTAAATTAGTATCAGGAGTTGGAAATTTTAGTTTTATCGCTGAACAATATTGTTTATATCTCCGATGATTTTAGAAGCCCGAAAATATCTTGACTGCTACCATAAATTTTACGAAGTAGAAAAAAACTTTTTACATAATAAAAAGTGTCATGTTTATTGTTAGTGGAATGCACAGCACTTTACAAAATTGACGAATTTTTCGGTAAGCTATGTTTTGAAATTTATATTGTTTCTACCATTATAATTAAGCTTTAATAGATAATTTTACGATCGACATGGGTGAAGCACATGGATTATTAAAGAATGTAAAATGTTCAATTAAACATGAAATCATTTAACAAATTTTAGATCTTAAAAATACATCTAGTTCTAATGTCCTCTTTTAATACAATATTTATGTTAAAAATCAGATTATTTTTTTCAAACTTTTAAAATACTTTTAGAAATACTTGTTACGGTTAGTTGTAAGAAATTTTGAAATTCAAGAATAAGTTTTGTTTAATCCTCCTGCCTGGTTCTTTCGGCTTGAGGGACCTCGGTCTTTTTTATCCACACGTTCTTTCCTTGGAGCAGGTTCAGTAGCGGCCTCCTGCTCCGGATATCAATCAATCAATCATCAATCAATTAATCATTAGATAATCAGTTGATCAAACAATCAATCAATAGATACAACGAATATCTATCTATATATATATATAAATTGTTATCTCGGTTTGATTGTATGTCCGATCATAACTCACGACCGATTTGCCTCAAACTTTGATTGATGAACTCGGGAGAACCAGGGGTATGTTCTTTGCTTGGTTTTTAAATTATAAGTTGATTTTAATAGAGAAAAAGGGCTAAAATCGTAAATTAAGTCCAAAAACGGGTAAACGACGGGAGTAACTATATATAAGTAACCTGGCATCTTAAGATAGTAAAGATAAAAATTTATGAATGATGAAAGGAGGTTTAACTAGGTTAATCATTTTTCCAAGTTGTGAAAGCAGCCCCGGAAAAGTAGTTAAACCAGCCGAGCCTAGTTTCACCACGTCTCAAATCTTCCAAATTTCTATTTATGGATATTAAAATAAAGCCATTGAGTGGAATGATTTGATTTATCCGCCTTTAAACAGAAATTAGTAGTTCAGAAGCAGTTTGAAACTATTAAAATATTTCTAAAAACAGTCTGACGTAATCTATGAACTGTCTTTGGAATTCCAAGTGACCTTCCGTTTAAAGAGGGACATGTACGATTCACATAACTATCCTTTATATCATCAATAATTGGGAAACCTATCGTCCTTTGTCTTGCTTAATTTTGGCAATTTCCTCCCATTGCATCTTCAGAAGAAATACGCAGGTCAGTTTAGAAAGAGAAACCAAAATCAACTATATTTTAATTAGTTTAATATGGATATCTAATTCATTCTTAGTCGGTTAAAGCTTTTAAACCACCGTTGTGAATCGGCCTTCTCATTTTATAAATGAAGAGCAACTTAAAATTACGAAAGCAGTCCCTTTAAGAGATTACTTATACTAAATACCGCACACAGACTATAATTATATTAGTATTTCTTGGGAACCCAGCGCTGCCAAAAATACTCCAGCCATTTAGCCGCACTAGAACGATATTACCGGGAAACTAAATTTTCACTATTAAAGTCGACCCACTTAACGTAGAATTTCAAACCAAGCTAATAACATTTCCGTGGGTCTCTCGAGTTAACCAATGATAATTTGAGGCAAATCGGTCCAAAAGTTTCTGAGTTATGATCGGACAGACACTTTATATATATAGGTAACTCTTTTCCGATACTGACTATAAGAAACTTTCTAAACCCTTTCTTTTAACGTTCTAGGAACCTACGAACAGACTTACTGGTCAAGCTACAAACAGTATTACAAAAATAGATATAATGTTCTTTACATCAGTCCAATCTTTAACACCTCTCAAAACTATAGGATGTCAAAATAACGAATCTTCTTATATCAAAAAACAAAACTTTAGTGGTCAATTTAGAGGTTTCGATCATTTCAGCTCAACTTTTCTTATCCCATTCCTATCTCGTTTCAGATAATGCCAAACTTAATTTAGGTAACTGCAACGGGTGTTAATCCAATATCAGACAGTACCACTTTCCGTAATTTCTCAACATAATTCTTCAAGTTGATTTGTAAATATTCTTTTCCATTAAATTCGACGAAAGAAAGCAATAATATCCTTCCTGCTTTTTGTGTTCCTGTACAGTTAGTTTCTCAGGGGCGGAATAATTTAAGTTCAGTGTTAGTCCAGAATCCTCCATTTTAAATGTCTGCAAAAATATACTAAAATTATTTTAACGCAGAAATTTATTTCATTAAATATACGCACAAGATGTTAGTTAACAGATAAAACTTATTTGGCGGATTAATCTGATTTGCGCACTTTATGGGTTGAGTAAGTTCCCCACGTCAACGATAGATGTCTTTACTGGGCAGTAAGCACACAAGCTCCTCCAACAGCCTTTATCTTTTCCTCAGCTACACGAGAGAAGAACCTGGCCTTGACAATGACGGGCTGCTTGGGGAGAACACCCTTGCCAAGAACCTAAAAAACGAAATAGTTACGACCAGTTAGTTTTCCTTTCAAATCTCCATACGATATTTGGTCTTCTTCAAAAATTGATCCTTTGCCTAAATTTTCATAAGAATCATTCTTTGAAACTATTTGTAATTATTCATTGATGCTCACTCAGGGCAAATTTTTTTATAATAAGATAATAAGTTATGTTATCATCGTGCTATAATGTTTATTAGTTACGTATTATAATACTGTTTAATTGTTTCGTAAAAAAATAAGGACATTAAAATAGATATTTATTTGGTTCGTTTTTCCTTCATTGTATCTAGGACTACAGACCCTTTAAGTACATTAATCATATAAAGTAAAAGCACATCACTATTTAGGTGAAATTATTTTTGATTCTTACCGGCAAAATCCTAACTAAATCGGTTCAAAGTCATTATCAGGTTCAGTCAATTTGGCTATTATTCAAGGCAGGCCGAAAAGGTGGTCATGGGATTAACATACAAAATTAGTTGGACGAATCAATCAAATCAAAGTTTAAAAATTATACAATTTTTTTTCACGCAGCACTAAGATATTTTTTTAATTCTGTAATCGCTCCCACCTTGTCTAAATTGATAGCTGGGCAGTAGTTGTTTGATATGTTGGGATGAACATGGAAGTTTCTCATTCCAACTTTACCAAAGTATCCAGGATGGTACTTGTCAAAGTTAATCCTAAAATAAATAATCATGAAAATTAATTAACTTACAATTGGAAGAAAAAAGTTTTTATTTGTCGAAAACATTAGGATTTATTTTTAATTGTATCAATAAATGTTAGGACATTATACCAAAATAATTGCAGTTTATATTTGATAATTGAAACATTATTATTGCAAGAAAAAAGCCCTTATATATTATGGGATCACCAGAGATTAACGTGCATGTAAAAGCAAAAAAGTCGAAAATAATTGAATACTAAATTGCGCTTTGCTTGAGTCTAGTCAAATTGATTATGCAATTACCACAAAGATCCAGACGTTATGAAAAGATGAAATTTTCTAAACTGGGTTGTTTTTATCATCACAACCTTAGGTTTTACATTACAAACTTATTCACACATTTTGTAGCCCTTGACATACATTTCGAAACTACAAGCTTGTTCCCAGCGTTAAAGGAGAAATTGGCAGTATATTGATTGATTTAAGCGCGAGAGTAGACACATTTTGAGTCACTGTGATACTGGTGAAGACTGACCTGTGATGATGTTGACCTCCAGCGTTTCCGCGACCTCCGGGATGCTTCCTAGAAATCAACCAATCATGCATCAATCGAGATAAATTGATGGATAGATCAATGAATATATAAATGAAAGATCAATTAATTTATTAGTAAATGGATCAATTAATCAATCAATAACCAAATTGATCGATTGGTTTAAATCGAAATTTCATTAATAAGACACCAAGTGGATAGAACGGATCAAGTAAGGATAAATTAAGAAATAAATGATTGGATCAGATAATGAGTTTTGATAATTTAGGGTAACAATAAAAATTATTAACTTTTTCCAATTCAATCTTTAAGATACTTAAAACCCAAAGAATTAACTGCGGCCACAGCTTTGAAAATTGTTAGAATATAGTCTTTTTAATTTTAGGTTGGTTAGTTTTAAGAGAGTTTTTTAGAGGCATTTCCGTTCCGAGGCGTTCCAATAGCACCAGTTTTGACGAACGTAAAGACTGTTTAGTCCGTAGACATTAAAACCCATAATTTTTTAGAACATTTTATGAAAAGTATATATTTCTGTACTATGACCAAAATGTGGATTATTACCTGTGCTTTCCGATCCTACCATGACCATGGGACACATGTCCTCTAAGCTTACGAGTCTTCTTCTTACACGTTGACATTTCACTCTGAAATATTTTAAGCATTTACTACCAAATATCTCGAGGAAATTACCAATCAAGCACTTGTAGATATGTGTTAGCGGTTAGGTTATTTAGGTCTGTACTAACCGAATAAAGTAGCTAATTTGTAGATAAAAGCAAACCAGTCTCCTAGATAAATCGATAAAATCGTATGATAGACAAATGCTAATGACTTTTGACCAGAATTGGGTTTTAAGAGTTTAAATCAGAGCAAAGCCACTCTTCAATTGCCCCCGAGCCGCACGTGGATGGAAATAAAATTATTTTGAAATGCTCGGAAAAAAATAGAATGCCCCGTGAATATCTTTTACGGCTTTATCTTTTGTGAAATAAATTCCAAATCTCACAAATCAGAAACTAAACAATAAAAAGAATAAAGATAAAAATTTTATAATTATAAATGTCAAAATTGTAAATTAAGATACTTAAAGGTAAATTTTTACACTTTAAAACGTTTTTTATTTGAGTTGGACCTTCCATTAAAAACTCAAAACCCTTGTTAAATAATGCCGTGTCTATGACAATACGCGGCAGAAGCGCATATAAACATTTAAAAATATTTTTTAAAAACATAAAGTATTTTGTCAAGAATGGGCGAGTTAGATCATTTGAACGAAGTTTTAATTAAAATAAATGAAAATTTTAAAGATCTCAATGTTTCTCTTCTTAAATCTTTAAATGGAGAATACTTTTTAAAGGTAAAGAATCTAGATTTAAAATAAATTTGAACTTATTATTTCTTTCCTAACGACCCATGATTTCGCCAATAACGTGACGTTAACTTATTTAGCTGTTCCTTGGGAAATTGAATTAAAGTAATAATCCACTCTGAGAAGTTTTCGCGGAACAATCCTGAATTCGTATCCCAAAAGATGTTAAAATTGTATACACCTACATACAATTATTGGGAAATTTAAGGTTTTACTTAATAAACACGGGTTCTCTCGACCAATTTTGGTAAGGAACAATTCCCTTATCTTCCCTGTTAAACAGACGTATCTTCTTTATAAATATAAAGTAGTAATCTTTGTTTGTCTGTCTGTTTATTCGGTCATAACTCATGAACCCCTGTAATAATTTGCCTCATCTTTTTACTGGTGGGACTAATTATGAGTACCCTGGGCAACGCTGGGTTTCTAAGCTAGTATTTTATAATTAAATTATTGAGTTTAAACAATTGTTAGGTTGAGACGGCTGAATTGGATTTAAGTTTACTGTACACCAACAACATCTACGTTATTATCACATATTCATCTGAACAGGTGAAAGATAATCATATTTTTTGTTTATCAAATTGAAATGAATAATTTTGGTCTTTTACATTGTACACTTTGCATGTGCAACCTTTCATGCCATAACTGTTTTAAAGTGCCTATACGGGGGGGGCAACGGGCAGCCCCCCCCCCCTCCCAGATCTTAGATATTTTGATCTATCTGTTTTGAAGAAAGAAAAAATCCNATCTGTTTTTAAGAAAGTAAAAATCCTCTTTTATCTGTTTTAAAGAAAGTAAAAATCATCTTTATCTGTTTTTAAGAAAGTAAAAATCCTCTTTTATCTGTTTTAAAAAAAGTAAAAATCCACTTTTATCTGTTATAAAGAAAGTAAAAATCCTCTTTTATTTTATTTTTTCTACTTTCAGCTTTGCAGAGCTGTTTTGTTTTCTTTTTCATTACAATTGTATTCTTGCAAGCTTTAATGCACCAAACAGTTATTAAATCATAATTATGTTTTTTTTTGGATTGTTTTTTTAAATTGAATTGCATTTGTGAGTAATAGAATGTAGATTTTTTAGGAAAATTAATTTACTATGTGTGCCATGAAATTGTCTTGTAAGTGCTAATATTCAAACTGAATGATCTGAACTTACAGTTGAAAATTTGCCCTCACCCCCCCAAAAAAATGTATTTATCTTATATTTTTTTAATATTTGCAGGACTCGCTAATTATAAGAAGTTTGAGCTACCGAGCTGAAATCCTGTTCTCGTCTTCTCTACGTTTTCATCATAGGGATACAGATACAGGTCTGGCAACATATTTACTACTGCTGAGGAAATTACTGCTTGAGACAGAATATAAAATCTGCTCCGGGCGCAAGGAAACAGAATAATGGATAATTTTTTTATTTTTTTTTATCAATCAATTTGTAGTTTTTTGTTTTTTGTCTTTATATTTGTAGTTTTCTTTAATTGTTTCCTTGTATATTTTGCTGATTAATTGGTTTAGTTAAATTATTTGTTAATATTTTTGATTCGTTAATTCTTTAAATCGTTGGTTCATCTTTTGATCCTTTCATTGCCTGATTCGTTAGAAATTAAAACTTATTTGCACAGAATTATTTTGTAAATTAATTGTAAATTATTGTTCCATATGATATAGTTTTTTGATATATTGTTAATCTTTTTACAATTAAATTTTACAAAAAGTTGAAAAGAAGAAATTAATATGTTAATTTGTCAATTCTTTTACATATCCCTAAAAAAGTTAAAAAGAAGAAGAAGAAAGTAATATGTTTATTTGTCAATTCTTAGAATCATTTAAATTGAGAGAATATTTGAATATTTTAAATATCCTGGTTTTTTTTCTGATAACAGGAGGAAACGGTATTTTCAAATTTTCAGCAGGTATTAGATTTCATTTTCTTTTGTAAATATAAATCATCTTAATTTCTGCATATACAATATACAATATACTTTGTTTTTAGATAAAGAGCGAAGAATTAATAAAATGTTTGATAGAACGTTCCCCACTCTCCACTCAGCGTATATTCAGGTTATAACTTAAAATTTGTTTGCTTCTAAATTTATATAAATCATAGCCCTACCCCACCCCTCACCCCTTATACGATGAAAGCCAGAAAACTGTGGAAATGGAAGACGACGTTAAATCAATCCTTAAGAGTATTTAAGAGCACTGTGTGTACATGAACTGTACTGTACTTGTGTGTACATAAACTGTACAGTACTGTGTGTACATGAACTGTACAGTACTGTGTGTACATGAACTGTACAGTACTGTGTGTACATGAACTGTACAGTACTGTGTGTACATTAACTGTACAGTACTGTGTGTACATGAACTGTACAGTACTGTGTGTACATGAACTGTACAGTACTGTGTGTACATGAACTGTACAGTGCTGTGTGTACATGAACTGTACAGTACCGTGTGTACATGAACTGTACAGTATTGTGTGTACATGAACTGTACAGTACTGTGTGTACATAAACTGCACAGTACTGTGTGTACATGATCTTCTTTGATTTTAGGTCTGGAAAATGTCAAGGTGTTTATCCTGTAAATCAACTTAAGGGAGAATCAGGTACACAATTTACTGTACAGTAAAATGATAGGCATATTTTATTGGAAATTGTATAGTGGTAGGCGATTATATCAATAAAATTAAGACGACTTAAGATTTAAATTTTGATTTATATAATAGCTGTTTAAAAGCATGATACACATATTTACATAAAAGTCAAGAGAAACTGTCAATTAAAAAATATTTTCTTTGATTGCTTGCAAACTTGTAATTCTAAAAAAGCTTGTTAACAATCAGAACTTAAATAAAAAGTCGTCTTCCTTGTTTTGATATAATCTCCTGTCACTGTACAATTTCCTTTAAAATATGTTTTATAGTTTACCGTACAGTAGTACAATTTACAATACATTATGCAGTATGCTATTGAATTTACCGTAGCGTACATTAAAATTTACAATTAAATATGCTGTACAATTTACACTTTACAGTACTGAAGTAAAAAGTTTTATCTAGTATACTTACAGCCTGTCTCATTTTCCAGAAATTTCAGCGTCTTCTGTAAATACATTTTCTTTCAATCAAAAAAGATTACAGTGTCCGAATTTAATGAATTTAAGCCGCGTCTCAAATCCCACAAAACCGGTTTTTATTGAGCGCCGGCTTAAATCTTGAAAAATTAAATACAATTTTAAGTGAAACCAACCATATTTAAGCAGCGACTCAAAATTTTTTTAATTCGGCCTCAGGCTTCATGTTTAAAATCTTTTTAATGAATTTTAAGAGAAATTCTAGGATAAAAATGATAAGATAACGATTTATAAATTTTATTAAAATAAGAAGTTTACCAAGTTGGGAATTAATGATTAGAGAGAGGTTGTTGAACTGTAATTTCTGATTCAAGTTGAGGTTGGTAGCATAGTCAAAGCACTCTTTCATCCTTTGCCAACTATATTTATTTCGGGACAGGATATGTTCTATGATCTATACAGGATATGTTCTATGATCTATACAGGATAATACAATTTCCATGTTCCAATGCCGATTATTGTCCAATAAAGTTCTTTAAATACCACGCTTTAACACTTCCATTCCTAGGCCAGTGTACGGAGTGCATGCATTTCTTCTCAACACTGGTAGAATCTAAAGAGGAGAAGATTCCCGGTAGATATTTTTTAGATAGATAGATAGATAAATACTCATTGAACTCACATACCGTTACATTACTTTTTTATCCATAGTGACCACATCAACATAATTTTCTTTCTCGCATCGCATCCCGACTCAATTACTTTCCACTTGTTCAAAATCTACTTTATTGACCCAGCTGTTTTTTGAGACGGGATAATAAAGTAAGCTTTAAATCTGGGACAGCTTTATTGTCCCGACTGGCCACTTTATTGACCGCCTCAACCCATGACCAGTTACATACTTGTTCAGAACTGTTGAGGTGTCCGTACCTAAATTGTTCCCGTGTATTTAGACGCCCTAATGCATTCAAAAACCATGTCAGGTAAACAAAGATACTTTTGTACTGTTTTACACCATTGTGTACTGTTTTACATTATTGTGTTCTGTTTTACATTATTTTGTACTGTTTTACGTTAGTTTGTACTGCTTTACAGTATTGTGTACTAATTTACACTATTTTGTACTGTTTTACATTATTTTGTACTGTTTTACATTATAGTGTACTGTTTTACATTATTGTATACTGTTTTACACTAGTTTGTACTGTTTTACATTATTGTGTACTAATTTACACTGTTGTGTACTAATTTACACTATTGTGTACTAATTTACACTATTTTGTACTGTTTTGTTCTATTTTGTACTGTTTTACACTATTGTGTACTGTCAATTTTGCTGTTATGATTGTTTTAAATTGTGTGTTCTCTTTAAAGTATCTTGCGCATTTCTGTTTGAGAAAAAACGTCAGAATTAAAAACGTGTCAGGCCAGAAAAAGAAGGACGAGATCTTCCACATTATTGATTAAATAAAGGTTTAAAGGGGCATGTCGCAGGTCCCTGTCCCTATTTAAGTGAATGTCACTTAAAATTGAGTTGACAGTCCCTTTAAAAAGTCTAAAATCCTTAGATGAAGTTTTAAGATTTTTTTAGAACCCATTCAACTCAACAACCTCGAGTCGACACACCGCCTCATGTGGATGATTATGATGATGATGATGATGAAGATGTTGATGACCCGCTTCCTGGTGATCTTCTTGTCAAGTCTGAGCCCAGTCCTCAATCATCAAATTCAGGAATTCAATTTTTTGGGCTGTTTTTTTTAATATATCTTTTTGAATTTTTTTCATTGCTAACTAAAAGAACGTAGGAAAATTTAGATTTTTCTTATTTTTTTTCTCTAGATATTAGTAAGTTTGGTGAAAGACATTAATTTTTCTGAAAAATGTAAATTTTAGATAAATAGTTAAAAACTATCTTTCGACTATACTGCAAGTGTACTTTTTTAAATGCAATACAAAAAAAAACTAACAAAATGTCCCACAAGTTTAGTTATTTAAGTTTTTTTTTATTTAAATGGTGCTTTTTCTAAAATAAAAAGAATGGTTAAAGCACCGACATCTTTAACTTCTAAAACAGGTACAACTAGTATCTGGTTGGTTGTTTTTATCAATTTTTATTCCATTGTCTCTAATTGAGTAAATTTCCTTTTTATGAAAAATTTAAAAATTAGAAAATGGAGAAGAGCTAACGGAAACCCAAGAAAGTGAAAGTATGGAAAAACAAGAAGAAGAAAGTACAATGATAGAAGATTTTTCAAGGAAAAAATCAAAAGAAAGCGGAGGGAAAAAGAGAATTTCCAAAAAGAGAATTTTGTTACAAAGCATAGAAGATAAAATTAAAGACCTCCAGTGCTCACATTGTCAAACGGACTTCAGGTTTTTTTTTGTTCCACACATAAATTGTTTAAACTAGATGAAATACAACATTGTTCAACTTTAAATAGATTTTAAATCGGCCTTTTTATTTCTATCATTATTTGAAATAGGCACTGTTCTTTACACGTAATTAGTGTTTTATAAGAATCTTCTTCAGTATTTTTACCTGTCAAAATTTCCTGTTTTTTTACGATTAAATTAATTAACTGGCTTAAATTTTAGTTCAAAACGGACTCTGATGAAACACTTGAAGGCCGTTCACACAGATGTACATTCTTAAATTAATCTTAAATGGCTTAAATTTTAGTTCAAAACGGACTCTGATGAAACACTTGAAGGCCGTTCACACAGATGTACATAGGTAGAAATCTAGTCTTTTATATATGTTTGGCAATCTCAAATTAAATTTTGTTTAGATGTGAAAAATGTGATAAGAGCTACCCCTTTAAAGGTAAGTCCAAGAGAAACTAGTATTTTATTTTTCTTAAAAATCCGCTATTTTCTAAAGTGTACAATGTACAGTGTACTGTACACTTTAAGAAATAGCCATTCTCTAAACTGTTGATTGTACTCTTATAAGAAATCCGCCATTTTCTAAACTGTACACTTCAGAGGAACTTGAGAATCACATGATCACTGTACACGAACCAGTCACATGTTCAGATTGTGGGGACGAATTTGCAAATCAGGTTTGTTTGACTATATATAAAAAAATGGGTTAAAAAATGGTTCAAAATGGGGTTAAAAATTGTTTTTAAAAAGGGTTTAAAATTGTTATAAAAATGGTATTAAACATGACTTTCAAAATAGTTTTAAAAATGGTATCAAAAGTGACTTTCAAAATGGTTTAAAAATGGTTTTAAAAATGGTTTTAAAAATGGTTTTAAAAATTGTATTTAAAATGTTTTTAAAAATTGTATTTAAAATGGTTTTAAAAATGGTTTTAAAAAGTGTTTCAAAAATGGTTTAAAAGAAGTTTTTAAAAATTATTTTAAACTAAACTTTCTAATTTTAGAACAGTCTGTCAACTCATCAGAGCGTTGTGCATAGGTCATAAACTATTTTTAATCCTTTAATAAAAAAAAATCAAAATATTGATTACAATTTACAACTTTAGGTCAACCCTTGAACCATGTTACATGTGTGGAAAATGGATGAAAAAATCATCAGTATCTGCTCATATTAGGATGGTGCATAAGGTACAAAAATGTCAGCA